AATGCGAATGGGACTGGACAGGAAGAGGAGGTCAGGAAGAGGTTTCTTATCCTTGAGAAGCCTCTGTTTTCTTTATGGAGTCCAAAGGCCAGTGGCCACCCGTTGGCTCTGTCTCCTAGGGAACCATGCTCCTCTGAGTCCACCATCCTCACTGCACAGGGTTGCTCACACTTCAACCTGTTGGCTTGGCTCAGAACACACTTCAAACTGTGTCAGTCAGAGAGCTGTAAGTACAACACAGGTGTTAAATGCAAGCCTTTGAATATAGGAATTACAGGAGAATTTAGGCCAAAACTCTTTCAAATTCTGATTTGTTTTTCCTCTCAAAATTTTGGCCTCAAATCTCTCTTTTCCTCATTATTTTGTCACCAAATACTTATGAAGTGCTTAAAATATGCTGAGGAATGGGATTTCTTTTTCTCCTGTAAAATTCCAATTGGTCAAAAGCTTGCTGAACATGTAACTTCAGGCTGTGTCCTGTGCAGAAAGGAATCAGCACCATGGCCTGTCACTGCCAGCACTCCTCAGCAAGGCCTCCTTGCAAGCTGGCCTTTGGATGGCGTCTGGGTTTCAGGAGTTGTTCCTCCGTTCCCTGACAACGTGGTTTAGACAAACAATGTGCTGTATGCTGAGCACCTGCTTTCCCTTGGAGGGTGTGAAGTTGGGATGTGCTAGGCAGAGGGTGTATATGAGACCAGCCTCCAGTAAAAACCCTGGGCACTGGGTCTCTAATGGGCTTCCCTGGCAGACAGCACTTCACACATGTTGTCATGACTCATTGCTGGGGACCGAAGTGCATCCTGTGGGACTCCACAGGGAGAGGACTGTGAGAAACCCAGCCTGTTTTCCTCCGGATTTTGGCTCGAGCATTTTCTGCCTTTGCTGATTTTGCTGTGTGTCCTCTTGCAATAATAAATTACAGCCAGACTAGATGCTGAGGTGCGGAGTCCTGTGTCCTCCAGTGAATCATTGATCCTGGAGGTGGTCTTGGGGATTGCTGACAGAGCCAGACCCAGCCAAACCATTTGGGATACTGTCTTTCTGAGTCAGTGCTGTGCCAGCACAGGAAGGCCTAGGGGAGAGATGGAGGTGCTTGCTATATAGATCCTGGGAGAAGCCAGGCTTCAGATTATCTATTGTTTCATTCAAATGAGGACACATGCTCAGGAGATAGTAACCTTGTGATTTCTGTTCTTCAGAAATTTGCAGTCAAGTATAAGAGACAACAATGGAGATGGTGGTGATGATGTTGATGATGTTGATAATGATATTGGTGATGATGAAGATGATGGTGATGATGATTATGATGGTGATGATAATGGTGGTGGTGATGATGGTGATGATGATGGAGGCAATAATAGCGAATGTGTATCTGGTACTTACTATGTGCCAGGAACTCTTCAAGTACTTCCTGTATTAACTCAATTAATCCTCCTCATAGCAACCCTAGGAGATAGGCAATTGTATTGTCTCCATCTTTATAGATGAGGAAGTTGAGCACAAAAAGATTAAGTACTGACCCAGGCCATATTGCTAGTTATTAGCAACATATCCTCTGGCTTCAGAATCCAAGTTCTTAACTGGTACACCATACTGTCTCTCTCTCTCTGGACACAGAGATAACTCCTAACTAATATAAACAGGCCCAACTGAACCTACATATTTAAAAAGTATAGTATTTATTACATTCTACATAACATCAGAATATTTGGGGCATGTTTTGATGCCTGTGCCAGATTCTGTTTGGCGAGGTTTGTGGCCAGTGTATCTTTGGGTTGCCTCCATGGCTCACATTTTATAGATAAGTAAGCATTCAGATGCAAATGGATAGAGAATAATGACCAGCAGTAGGAGTTCAGCACAGTCTAGAATTGTGATGGCAGGTCTCAGGGAACACGTGACATTAAGGAGGATCTCAAAGGTAAGTTCCAGATAGGTACTCTGCATGGCAATAACAATATGAGCAAAGAGGTGAACTCAACAATGACCATGATAAGTTGACAGGACCAAGGAAAGACTGGCTGGAATAAAGGGTTGCCTTGGTAAAATTGGGTGAAATCAAATTAAGATTAAATGAAAAGCAAGAGTTATAAGCAATGGGTAGCCAGCAAGCAAGAAAGTGACAGTGACAAAAGTGATGATTTGGTAAGATTTATCTGGGGGCACAACAGAGAAATGACTTAATGGGCCAGAGCCTTGGAGCATGGCAAGGAATTCAGAAACTGCTCCAAGAGTCTCAACAGGACAACAATCAACACGATTCTCAGTAAGAGTGCATGACTGGGGGTGTTTCAGTGCTGGATTTGCCTCCATAATGAGTAAGATCTTGGACGTATCCTTTCTGAGCTGAGAGGTGGCAGCTGACAATCTCCGACATTTTCCCCACTTTAACCTTTTATGAGTCTAATAGGTGTGGCTTGGATCTAGAATGGTGACTGTGGATTTTAAGAACCATTCTAAAAAGAGAATGGAATGCAGTAACTAATTAACAGTGGCAGGTGGCTGAAGAGTGAGTTCAGAAAGCTGAGAGAATAATGGTGAGCATGATGGGAGCAAGAAGTAGACCCTTTGCAACAGCATTATGCTAAGTGAAATAAGCCAGAGAAAGACAAGTACCATATGATTTCACTCTAGTGGAGTCTAATGATCAAAATCAACTAACAAACAAAATAGAAACAGACTCATAGACAGAGACTAGTCGACAGTTGTCAGAGGGGATTATGGAGCTGGGTGAACACAGCCAAAAGCATGATGATTTACAGAGGGAAAAGGGAGAGGGGGCGGTAGAAGAAGGTGAAGGGGGATAAATGGTGATGGAAGGAGACTAGACTGAGGGTGGTGAACACACAATACAATACACAGATGATGGCATTGATTGTATACCAGAAACCTATAGAATTTTATTAACCAATGTCACCCCGATAAACTCAACAAAATAAAAGAAATTGGTGGTTGTTTTATGCTAGTAAATCTAGGGTAATTTGTTTCACAGCAATGATAACTGGAACAAAGAGTGTGATAAGGAATGATTAGGTGTTCTACAATCCCATTTCTTCTTGGACATAAAGGAAGAAGACATTAACTAGCACTTTTTACAGGCTGTTGGCATTCCATTTGACTGAGTACTAGCCAATGGGATGTAGAGGGAAGTATGCCACATTGGGGTCTGGTTATTAAAATTCCTGTTCAATCATTTGCCATCTCACCCCTTCCTGTAGTGACAGGGGAGGCAAGATTATAAAGATGGCAGTATCAAAAGACTGGAGATTTCTGAGTCACCGAGTCATTCTTAACTGGTAGCAACCTGTCCAGGAAAACTGGCTAGCATCAGATCAATGCATGAATGTTAAATAAACTATCATTGAGCTACCGGGATTGGGATTGTGTTACAGCAGTGAGGATCTGTTACTCTGATTAACACATATAACAAGTTCATTGTATTTGTAATACCACATTGTAATTGCTAATACAGGTTCATTGAGCACTTGCAATGTGCTAGAAAGCCATATTACTCTGCAGGCATGCTTGCTTTCCCTGTCTTATAAATGCAAACCTCGAGCTCAAACAGAACTTAATATACTCAGGGTCACAAAGGTATTGCAAAGAAGGGGAATTTCCTTGAAGATGGAGCACTGTGAGGCAAACCTAAAATAAGGTTGACTTCTAAGAGTTAAATGAGCAAAATCCAATGGAAGAGGATAGCCATCAAAAATGTACTGTTGACATAATTTTTTGTTAAACAGGTGCTCTGGATTTATTCCTAAACCACTAATTTTAGTAATAATGGAGTATATACAAAAAATTCCTGATTTTATTTATATATTTTTAGTAAACAGACCACTATGTACTGGTTAAAATGTATTTTACAGCCATTTTTTTAAGGATTAGAAATAATTTTTGTTATGGTATCTTTCTATATTTTATGACTTTAATTAGATTTCTGAATTCTGTTCTAAACACTGCAATATGACAGTATAAAACATATTTTAATTATTAAAAAAAGAAAAATTCAAATACATTATTTATTTCACACATAAATATGTTTAATGGCAAAAACAATCTTAATAGCTATAAGAAGTGAGATTTTAAATGATAACAAGCTACAAGAAAAAAAAAAAAAAGGCAGAGAAAAATTAAAAGCAAGCCCAAGAGAAAATGACTTAGCTGGTAGTTGCTTTATCTGCCCTTATTCATCATTTAGCATTTTTAGTACTCCCAGCTTCAAAACAAACTACCCCTTTCAAAATATTGCTTATACAACTGTGGTTGAACGTTCATGATTATATCTGAGCACATTCTGTGTTTTGGAAAAGAATATCAGCTGCTGGCCCTCAGGAAGCTAATTGCTTTTCCTCACATTGAGCACAGTTATTCAGCCATCTAAACCATTCACTTACCACAGCGGTGGGCACCACTGTGAGCTTTTCTGCCCAGGGATCAGCATGGACTGGTGGGCTAGTGCCAAGGCCATGACTGTGGGCAGAGATGGGAGTTCCAAGGACAAACTGCTCAGTCCTACTGCACAATCTGTTTCCAGGATATGTAACTTGCCACTGTTTCTATAGTGTCTGTCTCCAGGGATGGGACTTAAAGCTCCTAATGTGCATATCTGTATTGAATACACACTGCTGCTCTTAAACATGACAGGATAAGCAATTCTGCAACTGCCCCCTTCCAGTTAATTCTCTCTTCTTGTACACATACTCTAGGTCACCGCTCGCAAAGACCATTTCTGATTTACCCGGGTAGAAAGGAGTGACCCAGTTATAAATGCCTACCAACTCTTTATTTTTATCAAAATATTCCTCTTAGAGAAGAACACATGACTAGTCTATTTACTTACATTTGTCTTATAGGCAGTTGGTAACTGGGAATTTAATAGACATTCATTTGATGCTGTGTGTCTTTCAATTCCATTTCTATAGCATTTGGAAGCCTCTTCCATATTTCATCTTTGAGTATTTTATAGCCATATATATTTCTTTGGAAAAATAATTGCATTTGGGGTAATAAAGATTTTATTAAGCAACCATGCCAGCAAGAGCAAAGCAGTAAATACCAATGCTGGCTTCAGAACACAACCATTATTGTGCAATCATTCCCGAGTGGCATCCGCTAGTGTGAAGCCAGACCAAAGACTGGACACCCAGCCACCACCTCTCCTCTCCTCATTTAACCATTGCTGTGCCTTGATCAAGTGAAGCCAACACCAAATCTCAGTGTAAAATGAATGCTCCCACTGCTCTCCTCTTAAAGCAACTTTCTGAGCCAGGTTGGAGCCTCTACCAACGCCACACCTCCCACCACTCCTTCCACCGCCCTCTGCTCATGTCATGTAAGTCCCACTTCAGTTGCCATGCATCTCCTTCTATTGAATGTACCTTCTCATCTCCTGGTCACTAAATACCTCCCGTTTGCAGCCCTCCTTTTCACAGGAAGACTCCCATCTCTCAAAGCTCATGTCTTTCTTGCCTTCTGCTAAATTTCCAATTACTTCCAGCCACCCCATGCCAATGCCTAATTCATTCATCTACCTTATGGAGTCTGTTGAATACTGTTCTGGCACAGCTCACCATACAACACTGTGTTGGGTTATTTTGGACAAAAACCAATTTCTGTGTTGGGTTATTTGGACAAATATTAACCTTGTAGGCCAGCTGGAGAGAGAGACGACATAGATCATAAGAAAGGTGAAAGAAAAGTCTTGCAGGGATTCCTAGAGTGAGGCTGGCCCCTAGCTTGGGGTTGGGGAGTGGGAAGATCCGTAAAGAAAAAGGGCCTTTGTGCTCACCTGGGCAGCACGTGTGCTAAAGTTGGAGGGATGCAGAGATTTATGGCACACAAAAATGTGATGCATTCTACATTTTCAAACAAAAAAGAGACAGGGCCTTCTGAGTTGGTCCAATGAGAAACTGGTAGAATTTAGAAATGCAGATGGTGGACAGAGGACTAAGACATTGAGGTGGAAGGAAGGGGACAGGGAAGGCATGCAGAAAGGGCTGGTGTAGAGTCAAGAGGTGGGAACACAGGTAGGAGAACAACAGGGATAACAGGGAAGAGCCCTCAGTTGCTCAGATCTCTCCTCCCCAGGCCTCATGCCCTCCTGGGCCTGCAGTGCGGAGACTGAGCGTGGGCACCCTCTCTCTGCAGTCTGTAGGCAGCAGGAGGGCTGGCACCACCTCTCCTGGCTTGGGTGCTGTCCCCTCCAGGGCAGCCACATGGGAACCAAGAGGTGAGACTGTTACGTTTCTGAAAGTGGGCTGCGGTGAACGCCACTCAGCAGCGGCTGCAGATCATCTGTGCCGTACTCAAGGCCCCAAGAAAAGTGCTGGCAAAGGGAGGGGCTAAGCAGGGACTGGGCAGGAGACTGCTGACGCACCCGCAGGATCTGAGGGCAGCAGGGCAGTGGCCCTGGCAGCAGGCACTTCTGCTTCCCCTCAGAGACTCTGCTCCTTCTCGAGCACATCAAGTCCTCTCCACGGCCTGGCGGCCCCAGTAAGAACAGGACACACATAGTTTTGCCCGACTGAAGACACTGCTGTTAGGCAACTGCTGTGAGTGGCTCCACCCCAGACCAGGACACACACAGGATGTCTGAGGTGTGTGAAGGGCTGGGCAGCATCGTTACGGAACCTGTTTACATGGAAACTGGCAACAGCACATACCTAACCCACTTGTGACTAATTCCTGCATGTCCTCAAGTCCTCCTGTAACATTCATGTTGCCAACGCCCCGGAGACTTTGTCCTTCCCGCTCAGCTGACCTAGGATCCTTTGCCCCTCTTGCTGGGCCTACATCTGTCAGGCGGGTATGCTGGGAGGCCAGAGGTCAACATGGCCACAAGTCCACAAAGCACAGGCGGTGAGAACCTGGGTGGTCCTCCCAGCGTGTATGAGCACTTCCTCCTACAAGACTCGGGACATTTAAACAGAAGTTTTACACAATGACCATCATTGCTATTATACCTGCAGACAATAAGCTTTAATGGCCCTTAAAAAGCAATCATTTTCTTTCCTTTTTTAATATCCCTGGACAACTTCAAGCTCCTTTCACTATTTGAGGGGGCATTAGACTGCTGTTCAGGAGGTCTGAGTTCTGACTCGAGTTCAGACACCTGTCTTAGCTGCATCTTTTATCCTGTCTCTGCATCAGATTTTAACATGAAGGATGAGCTGAACTGAGTTCTGGGGGCTAAGCTGCAGCTCAAGCAAAGCCCGTCTCACAGGACAGCCTGGTGGGCCCTTCCCCCCTGCCCGTCAGCCCGGTGTTCTCCACCACGGAAGTCTGAGGCTCCTGCAGGCTCTCTCCTCTCCCTGGCCTGCCCGCCAGGCAAGTTCCACATTGCTGAGCACAGGCTGGAGCAGACACTGAAAACATCCTCCTCCTCTACAAAAGGGGCTTAGGCATCTTCTCCCCCCAAATGTGCTCTTTCTTTTTTGGCAAAAGTCTTACAACTTACTAGATGACAGAAACTCGAGGAAAAGGCCCACCTTTTAAATGATCATTTATAAACTTTAAATATCACCAAATCCTCCCTGAGAATGTTCAGGGTGCACTTCTCACTGTCAAGGATGAAATTTTTATCTCACACTATTGGTAGCTGTCAGAATATGTGCAGCAAATTCAAGGTATTGCACCAGGGCACGAGGTGGGAGAGGAGAGGATAGACTGAATTCCACTTGGTTTTGAAAATTTTAGCTTATGAGAAAGAGAAAGGTAAACATACTTTGTGGGAATTAGAAAGCTGACTTTTTTTTTTTCCCTTCCCCCAATATTAAATTTCTCCCACTAACTCCCAGCTCCTTATCACCTGGAACACAAGCTGAAAACCTAAACCCGTGGAGTTTGTACTTAAGACAGAAACTTCTGCAATTCCACTGAGGTCACACAGCCAGGTGCCTCGGATTACTGACCACTGAGCAAGCCTTCCTCAGGTCCCAGCAGGAGAGTTTCAAAGGGTTCCTGCAATTTTGTTCATTAGCGAAGAATAATGTGCAGACATTTCCACCCCGTGTCAGAGATTTTAGAACAGGATCACTTTATTTTTTATCTTTATTTTTCAAATATATTTTATTGATTTTGTACAGAGAGGAAGTGAGAGAGATAGAGAGTTAGAAACATCGATGAGAGAGAGTCATCGATCAGCTGCCTCTTGCACACCCTCCACTGGGGAAATGCCTGCAACCAAGGTACATGCCTTTGACCGGAATCGAACCCGGGACCCTTCAGTCCCCAAGCCAACGTTCTATCCATTGAGCCAAACCGATTTCGGCAGAACAGGATCACTTTAAACCTCTGAAGAGAAAGTGTGTGTGTGTGTGTGTGTGTGTGTGTATGCCTTTGTGCAAGCAAGAGAAAGAGAAAAATATAAAGCGCATGATGAGGGATAAGGGGAGAGAGGGTGACAGAGAGCAGGCTCAGGGGCAGCAGTGTGTTATGTGGACAACATGCGAACACACAGGGCCAATGGGGTGGATGGTTTGCCCAAACTCAATGAGTTAAGCAGGTTTGGGAAATGTTTAGATCAAAGTTTTAAACACACAGGAGTCAGTTTGGGCAAAAAGAAATGGTTTTTTGAATACAACATCTACACTAACCTATCCCCTAATATAGTTGGGTAAGATGTTAATAAAATATTCCTGCAAAGAACTATTTTAAACCACAATCATAAGGCATTGATAAGAAGACTATTCAAGGGAGTAACTGATTTAGAGTTAGTATTTATATACATTTGTGTCCCCTAACACTGGCCTGCCAATGAAACAAACATTTCCTAACAACAGGAAACCAGACATTCTGGGAGATTTATCAATATGTACAATCAAGTCCCATGGAACTGGACTCTATTTTTGAAACTTCTTAGTTACTCTACATAAAACGCTATACACCAAAGTCAACACTAACGTTCTTTCATGCCAGTCCTAACTCCTGTAAATTTGTTTTTAAAAAGTACATAGCCTGTTTGCCAGCAGAACACTACGGCGGGTTTGTGGATTAGTCGTGGGCTATGCTGCGCTGCAGTAACAAACAACTCTTGGCAATTTCAGAACTTTAAACATCCAAGTTTATTTCCTGCTCAAACGATCTGCCGCCTGAGGCTTGCGGGGGGCTCTTCCATCACTGTCACTTGGGATGCAGGCTGAAAGAGCAGCCACCCTCTTGAACATTGCTGGTTGGTGTTCCAGAAGCATAGAGGGTCTCTTACACGTGAAGAAACAACATCATTTCTGCTCTTGGTTCATTGGCCAGAACTAGACACATGGAACTGCCCAATCTCAAGGGAAAGAGTGGCAAAAGGCAACAATGACTTCCACATTTTTTTGTTGTTGTTAATCCTCACCTCAAGATATTTTTCCCATTGATTTTTGTTTTGTTTGTTTGTTTGTTTGTTTGTTTGTTTTAGAAGGAGAGAGTGGAAGAAAGGGAGGGAGAAAGAAACATTGATATGAGAGAGTCACATCAATTGGTTGCAGCAGGTCAGGGATTGAACCTGTAACTTAAGTACAGTCCTTGGTAGGGAATCAAAGCCGACACCCTTTGGTGTGCAGGCCAATGAACTAACCCCTGAGCAACCAGCCAGGGCGACTTCCACACTTTGTTATGTTGAGTTTTAAGAAATGTTTTAAATACACATCATATGTGACATGATCTCTTGGATACTTTCTGTCCTTAGAGAAATAGCTGATGTGTCTAGACCAATGGTCGGCAAACTCATTAGTCAACAGAGCCAAATATCAACAGTACAACGATTGAAAATTCTTTTGAGAGCCAAATTTTTTAAACTTCAACTTCTTCTAATGCCATTTCTTCAAAATAGACTCACCCAGGCCCTGGTATTTTGTGGAAGAGTCACACTCAAGGGGCCCAAGAGCTGCATGTGTCTCGTGAGCCGCACTTTGACAACCACGGGTCTAGACCAACTTCTGTGTCTCCTTCATAAGAGTCTTAATGCCATCACTGGAACCCAACATCACTGGGAGGTAAAACCAGAACCTTAACTTAGCAACCCTGCCTGGCCACTGACCCCAGTGCCAGCACCACAGTGAAGTTTCGGCTCTCTGCAATTTTATTCCCTTATTTTCTTCTCAGGGACCTTTCACTGAGGCAGCTTTTTTCTATTCTACCACAGGTTGGGCATGATCAATGGCAGGAAAGCAGAACAGAGCTGAACGAGTCACTTGGTGGCGAGGGCTTCAGGACCACTCCTCAGCACGATGTGACAGTGGCCAAACCGGAAGCATGGGTAGCAACGCCACGTGAAGCCCTGTCAGGGGAAGGGCAGAAACTCACCAGCCAGACACATTGTCTCAATCTTAGTCCCATCACCAGCCCAGCGAACCCGGACAGGTGGCCTTCTTGTGGGAGGGGGATAGAAATAGCACCTCTGTCCGGGGTCACTGTGAGGAGGGAAGGAGGAGCCCAGAGCTCAGTAAGCACAGGTGCCTGTTTCTTCCTGTCCTTTTTCTTATCCCCATCATCTCGACCTCCCTTAAGCAGCTTCTTTCAAACTAATTTGCTACCACAAGGAGCAAGTCACATTTCTCACAATAATACTGTGAGGTGGGTATAACTCCCAACTTAATTAATGAAAACACCGAGATGTCTCAGACCCACAGCTGCTGCCTGGGCAGCACTCTGCACAGTGCTCTCCCTGGTCTGTGATGCCGTGGAAATGACCCTGTCAAGGTCATCCCTCCACATGTACCAGAACTCTCTGAAGAAGCTGTTCTGCTCAATCTGACAAACACGAGACAGTGTTTTCTCTACCAGAATACACTCAGTATGCTTGATGGAGCGGAGGCACCGACTCCCAGTTCTGCGCACAAGAGCCAGCCAGGCTCAAGCCTCAGGTGTTGGAGGTGAATCTGGGAAGAAAGGGGGTGGGGAGGATCCAGGCGTCCTCAAACTTTTTAAAGTGGGGGCCAGATCACGGTCCCTCAGAGAGCTGGAGGGCCGGACTATATGAACTACTAATTCCTACTGTAACACCTCGGCTGCGCTCACTGCCCAAAAAACCTGGCGGGCCAGATCAGATTCCTCTGCGGGCCGCATGTGGCCCGCGGGCCGTAGTTTGAAGACCCCTGATTGTAGACAGTGGGAGGGACTATCCCAGCCTGCAACTCAGAGGCTGTAGTATTTTATTCCTGGCTTTGCCACATAGCCTGAACATACAACATGCTGACAGGCAAGGTGCATTTTGGTCCTAGTCTGATGCATTTTGCTACCTTTCCACCTTGACTAGAGTCACATTATTATTATTACTATTGTTATTATTATTATTTTAACCCTTGCCTGAGAATAGAAAGAACTGAGGGATGGGGATGTGGGGGAGGGAGAGAAACATCGATGTGAGAAAGACACATTGATTAGTTGCCTCCTGCATGCACCCTTGGGCAGAGGAATGGATGTGCAACCCAGGTACATGCCCTTGACTAGGAATAGAACCCATGACCCTTTGGTGCACAGGCTGATGCTCTAACCATGAGTGAGCACACTGGCCAGGAATAGAGCCATACTGTTTTGCCTGTGACCTTATAAGGTGCCACAAGCCCCCTCTGACCTTGTCTGCACTAGACTGGGAGGGTCCCCTGAAGCACAGGCGTGACCAAGGCTTCCTCTCACTGATCCAGTAGCAGCACTGTCTTCCCTCCCAACCAGGAAGTTCTCTAGAGCAGAGGTTGGCAAACTATAGCCATTGGACCAAATTCAACCTGATGCCTGTTTTTGTAAATAAAGCTTTACTAGAACACACATTTGTTTACCTATTATCTATGGCTGCTTTCATGCTACTCTGGCAGAATCAAGTTATGAGAGAAACTAAATGGCCTGTAAAACTCCAAATACTTACCACCTGGCCCTTTCCAGAAAGTCTGCTGAGCCCTGGCCTGGAGGACTGTGGCAAGGGGAGGTGAG